TCTCAACTGATAGTTTCCATGAGAAGTTGGTTATAGTAGATCTGTCTTGCCCCCTAGGACACCATAGACATGCTTCACCAAGCTTAACTCCCAGATCACACAATCATACTAGGGACACAAATACATAATTATCTTCTTGCCTAGACTGTACAACATTGATAATGTCAGCTCTGTCCATGCTTCTTTCCATATGCATTGGTGCAGAACTTGCCAACTGGTCAGCTCACTTATTACCTTTCACTCTGCATGCCCCTGTGTGAAGGTCAAGAGGATGGAAGTTAATTGTAAATTCAGAATACCTTTTTACCCAATCGGAGCATAAATTACCTGTTGCATTTGTTTTAAACATGTTCCTGGAGTCTGAAATGGTAACTGTAATTTGATGATCTGGTAGTCTGGTAGTCTTAGTTTCAGCTTCATAGCAAACGAGTCACCCCATCTTTGCTCCGCTCCTGTGCCAACGAAAAACACACAGAATGTTTGTCACAGTATTAGAATTGCAGTTCATCATTGATGGTAGCAGAAATCGCCAACAGATCAGCAGTTGCCCACGCGATCAATTTTAATCACATACGGGCACCACAACACTGTATGATAGGCATCGCGCCATTTTCTGAATCTACAATTCACACCAACATGTTGGTCACAGTCGAAAAAACATTCCAAATGCAATCCGCAGCTCACAGGGTCACGCCATGCATTCAACTCAGAAGCTGGGCGACGAAACTATATAGAGTCTACAAATGGAGCAAAAATGCATCGGCCACTGTCCGGCAGAAGCAAAAAATTTGCCTCTGTTTCGAACAGTGCCGCTGCCTAACGTCCATTTTGACCGGAAGTCATGATTTAAGCTACCGCCCCATATGCTTCCTAAGCTACCTTGGAAAGTGAACATCGGGTTACTCAATTTCCTGGAAGAAAAGAATATACTGGACAACAGCAAATCAGCATTCAGAATATACAGAAGCATGAAGAGCAAATCTCTCATCTGGCACAAGATGCTTTCCAGAAAGGAAAAAACTGCTGGCTACTTTCTTTAATCAGACAAAAGCATTTGACAAGGTCTAAAAAAGGGCTCTAGTTGAAATTAGCATACAGCTTAAATTTATTTTTTCCTGGGCTTTTCTTTCTTTGCTATAGGGACTATTTCTGCCTCCTTCCATTCTATTGGAAATAGTCCATGGGTCCAGTAATGGTTAATAAGATCTAGGAGTCATTGTCGATTAGCTGGTTCCAAGTGAATTATTATTTAATTTGTTACTTGGTCAGGCCCGGGTGCCTTTCTTTTCTCAAGTTGTCATAATGTGCACTTGAGTTCTTGGACAGAATGAAGATTTTTTTCATTATATCATGATCGTTGTCCTGTGTTGTATATAGCTTCAATTCTTCCTTCATCTCTTTTTCTTTTGCTCTTTGCATGGAGAACTTGCTTTCTAATGCAGAGCTGTTGGCCAGCAGGTTTGCTGCTTGTTTACCAATGAAGGTTTTCCCACCATTTTCAATGACTGAGTAGGCTTATGTGGTCGTGGGGAACACAGCCATTGAAATAGACAAGGGTTCAACAAACTCTGTGAACCTAGTATTTTCTGTTTTTACAAGAGGGTACCAGTGACCTAGAAACTTGTAGGCTTACAAAGAAATGATAATTAAGGTTAGGTCCCATTACTAAATTCAAAGAGGAGGAGGTGACATGTCAGTAGACAAAGCACCTATATGAGATTTCCCCAGGGTTAATACCCTCACAGGCCATTCAGAGTGAAATTAACACCATGACGGGAAAACACAGGACAGTGAACCCAGTTCAGCAAAGGAGAGAGGCAGAACAGAATAGTGTTAGCAAGTATATACACAGCGAGCGAATGTGTAGAGGGACACTTGCTCTAAGAACGCAGCCAAGGAAGGTATTCTGTTGGTGAAGGAAACCGTATGAACCCATCTTGTGGTGATGTCAATATTATGGAACTGAGTTCATAGTTTAAAATGTACCTGTTGCGCTTGGCTGACATGTTTCTCTTTATTTAAACTCTTCACAAGATGTTATAGTTTTGTACTGTCTTTCTCCATGATAAGAGTTGCAATTTTTTTCCTGCCATTGTGATCTGAAGCATGTGAGGTTTTTTCTCTGGTATATTGCCTGGTATTTGTTTGTGTGATATGAATGACAGTGAGGATATGAATGATATACATGAACCAGAAACAGTAGAGGCAGAACCTGAACCTTCATTAGATGAAATTTCATGGGCAATAAGGAGCCTGAAAAATGGTAAATCACCTGGATGTGATGAGATACCAGCTGAATTGATTAAAGCGGGAGGAGAAGAAAGCATAAAAATCTATCATGCATTAAGTGAAAAGATATGGAAATATGGTATTTGGCCAAAAGACTGGAAGAGAACTATCTTCATTCCAATACCAAAAAAGGGTGACCTAAAATTATGTACAAACTATCGAACTATTGCCCTGATCAGTCATGCAAGTAAAATTCTACTAAAAATTATAATGAGAAGACTGCAAAAGAAAATGGAAGAAGAGATTAATGTAGCTCAGGCTGGATTTAGACAGGGAAGAGGAACAAGAGATCATATATTTAACATGCGTTTAATAGTAGAGAAGTGTAGAGAATTTAATGTAAATCTGTTCTTATGTTTTGTGGATTATTCAAAAGCATTTGACTGTGTACAACATCAGAAGCTTTGGGAAATCATGAGGAATATGGGCTTTCCATCACATATAGTGCAGCTCATTAAAATGCTCTATCAAGACCAACAAGCAGCAGTCAGAATAGATGGAGAGACATCAGACTGGTTTGGCATCAAGCAAGGAGTCCGTCAGGGATGTGTGCTGTCACCGTATTTGTTCAACCTGTACGCCGAAAATATAATGAGAAATGTAAGAGATGATATAAACAAGGAACAATATGATGCCCTAAACATCGGTGGTCATGAAATACCAGAAATTCGTTATGCTGATGATACAGTATTACTATCAACATCACAAAATGGTTTAGAAAACTTATTAACCTCACTCCAAAGAAATAGTGAAAATCATAACTTATTTCTTAACACAGCAAAAACAAAGATAATGCATACAAACAAAACTGCCATGGAGAAAGAAATATATGTTAATGAGGAAAGATTGGAAGTGGTGGAAAATTTCGAATATCTAGGGTCACTGGTTACCAACAATGGTGACACAATGAAAGAAATTAAACGGCGACTATCAATTGCTCTTCAAAGACTAAAACAACTGAATAAATTATGGAATTGTACAGATAGAATTACAAAGGTCAGATTTTTAAGAGCATGCATCTTTCCCATTGCAACATACGCCTGTGAGACCTGGACACTTACTAAACAAGCGGAACAGCGCATAAATGCATTTGAATATAAATGTTACAGACAGGTTCTAAGAATATCTTGGGTAAAGAAAAGAACAAATGCATCCATACTTCAAGAGCTGAATATTGAAGAGGGTTGGCTAGTAAAGACAATAAAACAAAGAAAATTGAAATATTTTGGTCACTTGAAACGTCATGGAGGTCTAGAGAGAACAATAATGGAGGGGTATATGCCTGGGAAGAGAGGAAGAGGAAGGCCAAGGAGAAGATGGGTGCAGGATGTGGCAGATGATCTCCAGATGGGTGTATCAGACGCAGGACATCTTGCTCATGATAGGAAGGTTTTCCGGAGGGTTGTTATGGCAGCGAGGTTCCGCGAGGGACATGCTACTGAATGAATGAATGAATTTGTTTGTGTGTTTTATAATGTTGAAAACAGAGAGGTCTTGCCCCATTTTATTCTTGCTTCTGTGCTTTCTTCATGCAGCTGTTGCAGTTCTTGGGTTCACAAGGGTCTGTAGCTTTGCCTTCGGCCTAGAGGAGTTGATTGTTGTGCTGCCTTGAGTATGATGTTTGCAAAAGAAAGATATATATATATATATATATATATATATATAATATATATATATATATATATATATATATATATATATATATATATATATATATACTATATATATATATATATATATATATAATATATAAGTAAAGAAGAATTATATATATATATATATATATATATATATATATATATATAATATATATATATATATATATATATATATTAGTAAAAAAAGAATGAATATATATATATATTAGTAAAGAAGAATGAATATATATATATGTATATATATATATATATATATAATATATATATATATATATATATATATATATATATATATATATATATTAGTAAAGAAGAATGAATACATATATATATTTATATATAATATATATATATATATATATATATATATATATATATATATATATATTATATATATATATATATAGATATATATATATATATACACACATTAGTAAAGAAGAATGAATATATATATATATATATGTATATATATATATATATTAGTAAAGAAGAATGAATACATATATATGTATATATATATATATATATATATATATATATATATATATATATATATATATATATATATATATATATATATATATTAGTATAGAATATGAATATATTAGTAAAGAAGAATGAATATATATGTTTAGTAAAGAATAATGAAAATAACTTCCTAATTTAGTTGTGCTGGTGTTTGGAACAAGATATTAATTTAATTAACTGTTTGAAATCTAATTGTGTTATCCAAGTTGGTAGTTACCAAAATGGGTAGCACTGCCTCACATGGTGAAAAACACAATTAATTCAAGGGATGGTGTTAGCTGTTATTTTCAGTTTGCAGTTTTCTTAAAAAGAAATATGCGCAGACAAAAACAAAGCAGTCAGAATAAATTTGGAAACTGTTGAAATAAACTGTTAGGTAGTTTAGAAGTTTCTTATACTTTTATTATTAACATGTAATTTTACATATACAGCTATATAGCAGTCCATATTTTCACCAGAATTTATAAGGATTTATTGTCTCAGGTATTTATTCTTTGTTTTTTCTGAATGTCTCAATTATAGAAGCTGCAAAAAGGTTACGATTAATGCTGAGTTTTGCTGTTGGTAGTCTTCTTGGTGATGTTTTTCTGCATTTGCTACCTGAGGTCTGGGCACACATGGACAGAGGTGGGTTGATTAACGTCATTAAAATAGTGACAGACCACAAACTGTGATCTCAACAACTGTTTTGAATGTTTTTTGTTAAATCTGTACTGAAAAAGAAGATTTAAAACTGAATATATGTTTAGCCATCTATGCTTTCATTCCTATAAGTCTCTCTCTCTCTCTCTCTGGATTCATGCAGACAGCAAAAGAGCTGCAGACAACTGAAGACAAAGTGACTGACTGGTGTGCAGATATGGGTGCTGTCATAAACTCAGAAAAGGAGGCTGTTTTGTGTTGCTCTCTGAACAATAGAATTGTAACAGCTAATAGAAAGCAAACTGAGCTGATGAAAATTGAAGGCATACAGATCAAATGTGGTTAGATGCTTTTGAGATGATTAGGAGTTTTAATCTCCACAGGAGAAACTGGACTAATAAACGATCTCATTGGTCCCCGAACAAAGTCCTGGATATCCAAGAAAACAGCCATATTTGGCTCATTATGTAAATTCACAGCATCTGCACCTGGTACCCACAGGAGAAGAAATGGGATTTTAGATGTTTAGATTACTTTAATTAATGAATTGTTAGACAGGGCAGGTGACCTGTCCCGACTACCTCCTCCTGGTAAAGAATTATTAAAGAGCGGTAATGTAATTCCAACAGTTTAGTTAAACAAGTAAGAACAAATGCACTTGGGATTTAACAAAAAATGTAGAATAAAACTTGACATACTGCTTTATTTTGCTAACAATCATTTAGATGACATTTGTCAGTTTGAAACTTTTAAACAAACAGTGACTGGCTGATGGTGTGATGGTAATGTGATGCTTCAGCTAGAGAACTGAGCACCTGAGATTAGAGTGATTGATGTTCTTCTGATGATGAAAAGTTTACAAACAAAAATACTAAACGTAACTTTGGGGTAATACAAGATAAAACCTCAGAGAGCCCTGGGTCTGCCGATTTCCTACACAATGTTGTTTTGTACACTTGGACCCTCGGCTTAAGCAATGACTGGTCCTTGCTCCTGACGGGAACTGTAATAATTGAAACAAACACATATGCATAGTATCTAGACTGAACACAAAACATGTACATTCTAATAAAAACATATTTTCTCTACTCATATCCACATTCTCTCAAGTCTAGTCTGAAGGTCTTATGTCTCACACTGATATCCTGCAAATCCTGCCTTTCCTCTCATGTCCTGTCATGATAATTGAAGTCCTAAGTCTGTTGTCCATCTTCACTCAGGCTTCGAAGCTTGCTGACATTGCTTTGACGTGAACATGTGGTGCAAGTTGTGTGCTGAAAACCCTCAAATGTTTATGTGCCTGCTGTCCTGAATATTATTTTTCCAGTGACAGTTAAGTATATACTCCCATGGGTTCTCAATCCCCTGGGTAGGTAAACACATTTTATTGAGCACATAGTACTTTCAAAATTGTCACCACAAGGCTGCACATGTTGTCATCATTTCCCCACAATCCATGCACATTTTAATTTCATTACATTTCATTATATTAAATATCATTATTCAAGTCTTATTTTATTAACTCTTTGAGTCCCAATGAACGCATTATACGTTCATATGTTCCTACTTATAGGCCCGGGGCGATATTACATGGGTCCAAGGTCCATGTACCCAGGCGAACGGCAACCATATGCGAATGCAGGACAGCTGCTATCCAGTTCACAAGCCAGGGATATCTCCATGAGTGCAGATATCAAAATATCATATCTGACTCTATTGTATGCATCCTCAAGATCAAGTGCTGCCACAACCATCTCCTATCTGTTCTGGAACCCCTCATAAACATCAAAAGCAAAAGTAGCTGCATTTGAGCAGGTATCTTTCCGTGGCCGGTAACTACCCAAACCATTTTTTGGCAGGAGCTCTTCCTACATTTGTAGTTTAGCAGCAATAATCTTCTCTAGCACCTTGCCAAAATATTTTGTAGAGTTATAATCCTGAAACCGCTGAGTCTGGAATGATCTTTGCCTGGTTTTGGAAGTGGGCTTAGGTTGCTATGTACCCATTTCTAACTCTGTCTTCTCTACGTCCTCTTGTAATCTGTGAGGTGCCTTTTGCACCTTCTTCAATTGCTTAACAGCTGCTGGCTTTGCCCTCCATGCCTCTTCTACTTCTTGGGTTCACCATGGAGGCTGCACAAATGTAGAGTTGGTAATTTTGCTGCATACTTTCTGTCAGAGGCGTCCAAGAAGGGTACTGGCTAGCTTTAGAAATCAAGACTGAGTATGGCATATGATCACTCCCATAATCACCTAGGACACTCCATTTTGTGTCCATCACTGCTGACTGGGTAACAAATGCTAATCAATAGCCGTGTCTGTATCACAAGGTCTCATTGCCATTCTAGTTGGCCTACCATCATTTATACACACTATGCCTGCATCCACCATAGCCTCTGTTAATGAATTTCCTTGTCTGTTTTCTCCAGTACTGTCCTATACTCTGTTCCACGCATTGAAATTCCCACAGATGAGAAACATATTACCTCCAACTCTTTCAGCCAATCCCAATGTTCCTTAGTAAGAAGAGATTCAACAGCAGCATAAACATTTACTAAATTCTAGGTTGTTTCTCCATTTTCTATCTGTAAACCCTCAATCTCTAGTGTACTATAATTCCATTGGCTCAGGTCAAGAACCACATGCTACCCCATTCTTCACCAGTAGACATTGCACATGTCTTCCCTGTCTGGTAGGTTTATATAACGAATGTATCTAGGACACTCATATCTGGCTATGTTAGATTCCAGCAGCATGATATCAAAGTCATAAATCAGTCTCTCCAGTAAGGTCCTCTCTGCTTGGCACTAAGACAATTCCAGTAAACCACTCTAATATGTTTTAATTCGCCTGACTCTTGGGGCTCTGCTGACTCCTATTTCTGTGCCTTTTCTCTCTCCATTTCCTCATTGTCTCTTCTTCCCACTCTCTCTGTTGCCACCTGAAGATGCTACCAAGCACAGAGCACGCACTCCATAGCTCCAGCGATGATTCATTTTATTATTAAGTACAAAATCCATATGAAATATTCTTTCAATGCAGGAAGTAAACGATCATCCTAGTATTGCCTGCTTGCTATAGAAGAGGCGGGAGATTTCCTTATAGAGACCATACCTCTGGCGCCGCCCCACAGGCTAACCAGATGTCCACGTTCATTTACTGTAGGCTTAGGTTTTTGTTTTTTTTATCAAGGCTGTCTTCTCTAGATCCGTTGTGTTTTTTGCCTCTTCAGTCACGCGCAACGGTTTTGATTGTAGAAGGGTTTTCCTAATCAAAGGACTTACAACCTAAGTGTGCCCCTTTCACCCTATAGCTACAAGTACTCATAGGGCTAGACCAAGCTATCAAGGGAGAACAACTGGTTTGCTCCACTGTGTGAGAGATCGGACATCTACAGCCCTGGATCTCTCTGATCCTTGTGTATTCCAGTGCGCAACAAACATGATGTAATTTTGTGGAGGTAAAGTTAAGCTGAATTGTGAACTGACGTTACGGAAACCATTTTGATACTGGAGACAACACATAATCCTCATCATGTGGCAGAACAATCACTGATCAAAATCTACTGCAAATGTTCATCAGCTGGTGCCTAAGCAGAACTCAATCAAGAAAATGGTATGATAGAATCACTAACTTGCAGCTTTGGAGGAGAACTAACATATTCTATATAACATTAGGTGAGGAACATACTGATGCTGGATATGTCAAACATAGAGAGGGGGAGAGAAAGAGGGAGAGAGAGAAACACAGTATAAAAGAGATACAATGAGATCTAAAAACCCTTGTCACAAAAACCATCCGCGCTGGACTACATGTTACCTTGTAACTCTTTTGTGGTGCCCATATATAACAGTGCTATCTGATTATTGCCATCCACTTCTTTATCTGCCGTGAATCTGACAGTGACATCTGTGACCACTTCACAGTATGTAGTATCTTGTGTTGCATTTTCCTTCAGAATTACATTTCAACCTCTGCTGACATAGGCTATGTAGAGGTAACCAGGTGAACTGCAAAGTCACTTAGTCAGTAAAGCCCAATAGGTCACAATGTATGGTTAGGGTTGTACTCTGAACGAACTGCTTCCTTTCATTAGTACAGACAAACCTAGACCTCTTGTCCAACAATGACAGCTATGAGGCTAGCTGGTCCCTATTCTGTCACTTTGGTGATTGGATAAACCTAATCCTAGTAAGTGTTCTGGTGCCAGCCAGACATGAATCATCTTTACCATTCATCACAACAGCTACATCACTTACCATGAACAGCCAAACTAGCCGGTGGAACCAAAATATGTAGCTGACGTGTGTGTACACTTGCCTTCAGCGTCACACGCGACATTTACACATCAAAATTAGTACTTATACCGGTCTCGATTGAGATGCTCTTGATGTTTTTTAAAATAAGGTCATGAAAAGAACAGGAAAAGAAAACCTTTCACCATATTTGTGCAGTCTGGTGCACACCATCTGTCTATAAATCTGTCTGTCTAACAGCTAAAATGTATACCAGCTTGCAAAAAAAAAAACTTTCTGGGTGAAAAAAACCAGAAGGATATTCTATATCTCCTATATTCAGACCCATCTAGACTACTGCTCCACAATATGGGATGGCTGTCTAGTTTTGATCGTTAAGCCGCTTAAAGCACTTCAGAAAAGAGCTGTACGCTTAGTCAATAATAATCATGGAAGAGACAACTCCATGCATAAAGATCTTAAGTTACTACCGTCCCATAAACGACTACTTTTCAATAAGGCCAAAGTTATTTACAAAATCTTATGAAAAATTGCTCCAGATTACCTTTGGCCATTCTTTAAGTATAATGGGTGACATTGCAAACGCCTAAACATATCACACATCCCTAAACCTAGAATAGACTTGTACAAAACAAGCTTGGCGTACTCTGCAGCCCATCTGTGGAACCAACTTCCACAACCAGTCAAAAATATCAACAAACCCTATAAATAGAGTTTGAAGTTTTTAAAATATTATTTCACTACAGACTACATGTCCCTTTAGAAAATAATAGTGTTCCTAAAATACTATTGATTTCCACCAAGATTTATTATGTTTGATATTATAATTGTTTTAAAATGTAGGCATACTTAAAGCACATTGTTATTAAGATGTTGTTGATGATGTCTATAATTATCTGCTAAAACAATATGTGCATGAATAATGTATGCATGGAGTGAGGCCAGAAGGACAGAATGTAAGGCGGACCTGTGTGAACAATTCTTAACCTTTCGAAAATAAAGTTTGTTTGTTTGTTCGTTCTATCTATGTATCTGTCTGTCTGTGTGTCTGCCTGTCTGTCTGTTGTCTGTCCTACTTTTATCATTTCAAGACAAACAGTAAGCAACAACCTATTACATTTTTAGAGTGAAAATATCCATTCAACAGTACTCAGGTTTACCAATGACATACATATGTGTGTCAGCACTGGTCACTGTACATGTATAAAACAATACGATGACCTTGTTATTAAGGCTGTATAAACAGCTGCAGTGACCTAGTTATCATTTGTTTGTGTTTGTGTAGATAATTCGTTATGTTGATTGTATAACATTATCAAATTGAATTTGTTTTGCAGATAATTATATCAGCCATTTAAAAATTGGTCTTTGGGTGGTATCAGGACTTCTTTCATTCATGATTGTTGAAAAGATGATGGGAGATGAGAGTGAGTTTGAACATGTGAGCATACAATTATTTAATATTCATGGGTCATTCTGAAAATGTTTATTAAATATGCTAAAGGAGGTCAGTCTCCTCTGCCAGTGCATCCAATTATTTTTATGTGATTTTGATCCAGGTTAAATATTTTGGAACTTCTGTTCCTTTAAATCGGAGAATACAAACAGAAACAGCATGTTTTTACCGGCAGTTTAGGCTATTGTACTGATGCAAACGAATAGGAAGTCACAGAAGAATCTTAAATATCATGAAAAACTAATACGTATACCCCAAACACTTTAAAAGAGACCAAAATTCCACAATGGCAACTTGCCATAGACATCAGAAAACAAGAATCAACCTTCTTCAGCTACTTAATGACAGAGAAGAAAACTGGTACAGACTAACACCTGATTGATTAGTAGGCAGGGAAAAGAAGAATTTGCAAGCTGTACGGCGATACTTGGTCAGCAATCCCAGGTCCCTGCCGTACTGCATTCAATGCTAATGCCAAGTTATGTTCCTCTAGGGGTAGCAACTGTTAAAACGCACAGCAGACAGAGGCCTCCACAAACTGAGCCAAATATTAAACTAAAGTACTTGATAAAAAGTAGTTGACAGGCAAAATACATCATGTTTATTTGTAACTGTCCACATGCATGTATGCGTGACCATGAAAATGAATATGGTAGAATGACCGTATTAAACTATGGCAGAATATCTCCTTTTACCTCCAAACCGGAGTATTGAGCCTAAGCTTCCCGTAATCTGCGGCATTAAGTGGAATAACTCCTTTTACCTCCAAACCGAAGTATTGAGCCTAAGCTCCCCACAGACTGTAGCATCAAGTACAGATCCAGATAAGCTTCTGTTTTTCAACCTCTGCCATTCACACATTTCTTGCAACTGTCAACTACTCAGTTCTCATCAGCAAGTGATGTTGTATCTCTCGTCATATCTCTGGTTCATTAGCGGTTTGCCCTAGTGTGAATCCCAGGATTGCACACACAGCAGGGAAAAGAAGAAGTTGCAAGCAAGACTGCCGATTTATTTCTGAGACAGATTTTTTCTATGCTTTAATGCCAGACTGCCCCATGACCTCTCACTTGGTCTTTCTTGATATCTTTTTCCCTCCAACTTTTGTTGTTGTCCTGTCATTCTGCCATTTTCCCTCTCCTGATGTTCTCAAAGAATTTACCTTCTTCTCATGCAGATAATCAGTCCTGTTTGTGAGTTAATTTTGTTCAAGACAGTTTCATTACATTTTTTCTAAAAATCTATTTTTGGTGACCTGATCAATCTTTTGTAAAACCATAAGTGCAGCTTACACAGAATTCTCACTAATCTGCTGACATTGATTCACTTCTTGTCATCAAGTTTGGCTTGTCTGTGTAGCTCCCAAAATCTCTGTTTCTCACCCAAATTGACAAAGATGTAGAATATTCATTCTGTAAAATATGAAAAAAAAATTGAACAACAGGAAATATATGTCAGCTTTACGGAGCAAATTACAATAAAGAGGTTGCAGCAAGTCTTCATCAGCAAACAGTGACAAGAAACAAACATGGCACAAAAATGAAATGCTTTTAAGGTCCCATCCTTTGGAATTTTCCCTAGGGCAAGTTAGTGTTTTGGGAAATGAACAGTCAAACAGATGGCTCATTCTGTACTGCTTGGTGATGAACTGATGCATGACAAGCTAGATGTTATAAGCACCATCAGGGAGCCAATAAACAGTGTGAAGGCACAAAGAGAAGGTGCAGCGAGGAATTACCAGGAGATTGGCCAATGCTCAGTACTAAGGGGATGAGCAAGATGGACATACAATCAGACTGGTACTGGTACTATCGTAATTGTGCTTTGCTGCTAAGATGGGGACAGAGCACTTTTGGGAATGTCCCGAATGCTATCATGTAGGTTCTTAACTCATAACTACATTGTAGCATTTAAAAAAATGTAAACAGTTGAATCAGAAAGAAAAAAAACCCCCAAAGAATCAAGTTAAATAAAAGTGTGCTGCATTGACTTTTAACAAAAATAAAATAAAATGTCAATGTTTTTCTTGGATCCTACTGTCTGAAACTAATGTAACTTTTGTTTGCAAATTTCAGCTTCATGACACATGTGACGATACTTCTACAATTTCTACACAAGGCGAACAAGAACATTTAAAGAAATCAGGAGGATCAACATCTATGATGACTTGTAACACAGGCAGAAATCCTAGAATGTGCAGTAAACGACAGATTAAATGTGAACAGAGATCCTTAAAGGAATATGAAAAATGTACAGTGATTGAAAACGTAAACACAGCTGTAGACACAGTTCCAACATCCAGACAGGACATAGACACCAAAATAAAGGTTTGTGCTTATATTATAACGTCAGTAATTAAATCCCATCTCAGTACTGGTTGCCTGCAACAGATCTCTAATACTTTCAGTCTGTCACTCTGGTAGCACACTTGGACAGACAGACATGTCTTTTGATATCTTCTCACTTGTGTCATTGTATACTTTTTTTTTCATAGGTGACTTCCACTTTTCCCTTTAGGGTGGTTTTAACAAATTATCATGTCTCTTAATATGATCACAGAATTTGACACTAGCAAACTCTAGATATTTAAAGTGTTAATTTCTTCTAAAATGTGTTTATTTTGATTTTAATTATCCCATGTTCCTTGTAAAGTAAAGTAAGTAAAGATCCCTTTTCACGCCTTTAGGTGCATCGGGAATATGGGAAGAGCACCTATCGGCACTCGGTGGGTAATTATGCATTATGCCGACCGTCTTTTGCTTACCAAGGACAGCCATCCTGGTACCCATTTGAGGCTGGGCCGACCTGCGACGTCCCATACCACGCAGTGGGTTTCGATCACGGTATGTTGGATTACGAGTCGGACTCGCAACGCCTTAGCCACGGGCGCCACCATGTTCCTTGTAGTTAACAATTTCATGCAATTTTAAAATTTTCTCTAAATTTGTGCCTGTAAATTGAGTGCCTGCAGTGGTTTGTGTCATGACAATCAGAAAATTAAAAATGGCTAGTGCTCAGTTTGTGTTTGCTCTGATCAAGTGTTTTATGCATTAATACTGCATATGTACTGCCAGGCCAGCTTATCCTGATTGACTACTTCCATCAGCTAATTGCACTTCTGGTAACAGATGTTGGTGTTGGCAAATTTAGCAACTGTCTTATGAACTTTCCTCATGTGTATGTTTCCGGATTTTGCAGGAACTAATTATTTGTTTACTAGTTTTACAATGTGGCAGTGAAGGGCATTTTGTATGATTTTCACTGGAACAGGAACGTATCAATTATGGGGCAACTTGTGTGCAGTGAATTTAGAACCTCGATTACTACTATTACTACTACCAGCCTTGTTATAAAACGGTTCCATCCATAAAATCAGAGTATCATCAAATTTCAGATTACATAGTTATTTAGTTAGTTAGTTAGTTAGTTAGTTGGGTTATCCTCATTGCACTCCGGACATGTCCATAGGTGCTCAGATCCTCCTCTCAGTATGAACCCCAACGTCCGATGGCTAATAGTACCAGTTCTATGTTGATTAACAAGTCTTCTGGCGTAGCTGGTGTGCGTCTCGTTTTTTGTTGTGCCGATCTTAATTCCCAAGTCTGCCATTCTGGCGAGTGATGTGGATTCACTGCCACCAAAGTCCTCTATCCTTCCCATTTCTCTGAGGGCATTGATAATATCAGCATGATCCATAGGCTGACCGTCGGTAGTGATAGCGGATCCAGCCAACCTGTCAGCTCTTTCATTTCCATCGACGCCTGCGTGTCCCGGAACAAAAATAAAGGTTCAGATTACATAGAGATCACCCAGCGATATGTGTAGATGTTGTCTTAACCATTGAGATATCCAGCAATATGTGCTTTAATTATATGTTTAAAATTTGTGAGAACACTGTACATACTTGTTTAACTCCTATAATTTTGAAAAGTTTCCTTTTTTGTTGTTTTCGTTTGTTTGTAAGAAACACATTGCTTAGTTGTTAAATAGATTCAATGATTTCTATGTTGTTGGTATCAAAACTAAATTTTTACATTGTGTGCCATGAGACTTCATGCCAGACTTAATCAAAGGCCATTGAGAATTCTTTTTAATTATGGTTTAAGGCCACATTGGTATTACATGTTTTTCAACCAGTACGCTAATATTGAAAATTAGTACTGAAATGCTTGAAACATTCTTTCTTATTTCTTCTTCATTCTTTTCAAGTGCTGCAGTGCCCTATTTTTTTTTAAAATTAATTTGTTTTGTTGTTGTTGTTGGGGGGGGGGGGGGGGGGGGTTTATGAAAGATAATTTCAGTCTCTTGGTCAGTCTTGTATTTCATATTTTTAGATAAAAGGTTGTTGTGATGTTGTTTATTTCAAAACTATACTGGGATATTATGTAGGCCTGGTGTCCCACCGATTCTGTGTGTCCATGTAACCTCTCTTGTGTTTTCTTGCGTTACGGTTATATTTTATTTTTTCATTTATGGGAATATTTGTTAATCTACAGTCAAGATTCACTTGCATTCATTCATTATCCTGTTGTATCAGGATACTTTCCACAGGCTTGCAGTCAGTTCTGACATTTAATTCTGTCCTATGCACCTCACTCCATGTTTCCCATTACAGTGTCTGTTTTGTGATTCTTTGTCCACATTGTTTCATACTGGGACCCAATACCATTCTTCTCTTCCTTATAACTGAAAATACCAGTAGTTGTCCAAATATTTCTCTAGTTTCTTCATTTTTCTTTAATTCATTCCATTTAATGTTTAAGTTTCCCCAAACTTTTTGTTCTTGCTCCTTGTCATCAGTTGTTCACCAGCTCTCGCTGGCATATGTTAGAATTTTAATTACATTAGTATAATTTTTAGTAACATATTTTGTTGAAGCTTCAAGACTCCCGTGGGATGCATTATTTTTAGCAATAGATCCCCATGTTGTCTATTGTGGTCAAGCTAAGATAAATCATTTGTATAAGTTGCTAAAAAAAATTGGCTGTTTTTTGCAGCGCCTTTAGGAATTTACTGTTCAGCTTATTCTTTGCATTCAACAAGGATAGAAAACACTATTTGAAAAAAAACATTTAATTTATAAAAAATAAAAAATGAAAAAATTCTGTCCTGAGAGAGAAAAAATTTGAATTAAGTAAGTATTGTGTTTTTCATGTCATCTAATATCTTTTAGGTTAAACTTATTCTTTACAGCCGGGCTATTCACCTGGCGGCCCAGGGGCCATATCTGGCGGGCCAAGGGCTAGCAAGTGGCCTGCGGATCAGTGCTAGTTGTATTGTATTTATGATCTTTCTATGCTGGGGCTTGGGCCACTGGCCTGTGACGATCCCCATTTTTGAACATTATGTCTCCTTAGTAAACTCAGTTGAATAACCCTGCTTTACATCACCAAAGATGATTTCTTTTTTAAAATGATGGCTGGCACCTTTTTGTTTGTCTAGACGATAGTATTATCCTGTGCTGTGGGGAGGCGTGGACTCACAGTCCATGGTGATGGTGAGTGTGTCTGGCAAGACCTGCCGGTGTTGAGAAAAGTCTTCCACAAGTAGAGCATGAGATGTCAGGACCATTGTGTTTCTTCTCAGATGCTCAGCTCTCACCCTTTCTGCAATAATTTTTTTTTAATTCTCATTCTCTCCCTAGATTTTCCCCCTCCATGCAACACAGTCCATGGAATTTTGTTCCCAAAAATTTACCTCACTCCCTGTATCATTCATGTTCCACTTTCACACACTTTTATATCATAGTAGACGCCGACCTCTACATCTTCTACCCATTTTTAAATCACCTTTCTCAATCTTTTTTTTGTCGGGGCACCCTTGTCAGGCAAAAAAAAACTTGGCGGCACACCTACCCTTAAAGTGGTTTGAATACTTAGAAAAATAAGAAAAAACTGCAAATTTGATGTTCTTCTTCTTCTTCTTCACTTCCTCTTTTACTGCTGTGGGTGTCGAGGGAGATATAAGGTTCTGTTTCTAGCTCTTCTGGCTGCCTCGACCATAGGCACATCGTGCTGTTGTAGAGTTTCTCTGATGTTATCCTTCCATCTTGTTCTTGGTCTACCCCATGTGCTCTACGTCCTTCTTCTCTTTCCATGTATGCTTTGTATGGTATGGTGTCACAAGGCATTCTCTCTAAGTGGGCAAACCATTTCACTTGCTGTCTTTGTATGTTCAATTGTCTTTAATGCAATTGATGAAACTGTTTGGATGAATTTTTCTTGATTTCCTTTATGTTTGTGGGAAGTTTAGTTAATTGTACCCTCATATCGCTTGCTCCTGTATATGTTTTTAAATGCAAGCGTACACTGAGAATGCGCTGCATCCTAACATTGTTTTCTGAATACACCTGCATCCAGAACTCATCTTGGCTTCCTTCATAGTATTTCTGTTTTAAACTGCTGTTTTTGCTGATCACAAGTAGATTTGGAAAAATTCTTGATTATTGCCGCAGCACCCCTGGCATTCCCTTGTGGCACCCTTGGGTGCTGCGGCACCCAGTTTGAGAACCGCTGACATAGAGGATGTGACCACACAACCTGAACCTTCAGTGACTGAGCATCGAGAAAGCTAATTAGTAAAAACTAAACAGTATACCAAAACACTTGTAACCTCTTGAAACCAAAAGAAATAAAAATTACTGATTGTTAAGTGAAGATCAGGTTTTTTCCTGTTGTTCTGTTGTGAAATTTACAGAATTTTCCACTTTAAGGAGCAGAATTTAAAAGTATCTTCCTATTATACACAGTACATTTATGACAGGGAGTCTCCTTGGCAGAGTGGCTAGATTCGCGCCGTAGATCGGAAGGTCATGGGTTCGCTTTCTGGCAGAGCCGGATTTATTTCAAAAATGACTTTGGCTCCCAGGTCGACCCAGCCTTGAGTGGGTCCCGGGTGCAGTCTTAGAAAGTAAAGGCGGCCGGCGTGATGCTGACCACATCACCTATCTTGTGCCGATTGGTCTATAAAATATAGGTCTAGCCCTATATGCCCTATACGCCTAAAGGTGTGGAAAAGGGTCCTTTACTTTACTTTTACTTACATTTATAGCAATGACTGGTGATCAGCTAAATGTAGATGATGAAAAGTTAAAATTTTCTGAAGGTACTTTAGAGTAAATTTGTACTGGTCATCATATTGATAATTTTCTTTTGGTACTGTTACAAGTTGGTATATCTAATTTATAAGTTACCTAGTATAAAGTAAGTCAAGGACTTTTCCATGCCCTGAGGCGTACAGGATATATAATGCTAGACCTGTATTTCATATACCAGTCGGCACTCAGTGGATGATGTGATAAACATCACGCCAACTACCTTTATTTCATAGGACTTTATCTGATACCTATTTTAGGGTGAGTCACTCTTGAACCAAAGTCATTTTTGATGCAAATTTGTACCCATGACATATGGGTCTGCAGATAAGCATCTAGCCACTATACCACTGTGGCTCCCTGTTTATCTAGTGAACTGACACTAATAGTACCTTCTTTGTGACTTTAGCACACCATTTTTTTTTTGGTCAGTTGACACACTGAAATGTGAGTCCCTGGTTGGCGTGTTTTTCAGTTAACACACTCTTTTTTGGTCCCTTGTAGTTTGTGTTCAAAAGAGTTTACACCGATTAATTTTTCTTAACTGATTTTGTTATAAAACAAACTCTTTTTCAGGCTCTTAGAGTTTCTGTTAACATGGGTTACTGTAATTTATTTTTCTCAACTGATTTGTTAACGTGAAGGTAAAAGCTCAATATTGGCATTTTTCTGTAGGTGAGCGGTTACCTCAACCTTTTAGCAAATATGGTGGACAATTTTACGCATGGCTTAGCTGTATCTGCAAGCTTTTGTATAAGCACAAAGGTAACAGTTTCTAGCAAACAGTAAAACCATTCTATTGTTCTTCTCATATAAATATTCTAGACTTTGGTTTAGATTGTAATTCTGAGTATACTAAAAATTAACATACTATATTCCATATAATAGGGAGTGGTGGTAGCACAGCATGCTTACCTGTCAGCCTGGTGATCACATGTTGTGATATGGGTCTCAACAGCTCAGTAGCTAGACACCAATACAGTGAGATCACAACATCGAAAGATGGATAATCAGCAGTTTAACAGAGTAAACAACCAAAATGAGAGAGTGCTGCACATCCATTCCAGCCAGTCTTCATTGTGAAGATGGCACCTGAGTGATTGTTTATTATTTTCATTCTTCCATACAGTTTTTGTGTTTCTAACTCTTAATTATCAGATATTGGGGCATATATTTTAGAGTATTTGTGAATTTAATAACTTATGCCTGCTGACCTTTCCATTAAGCAAATTTTTATCATTCTAGCTGAAACTGTCCCAATTCCTTTCACCAATTTGTTTGGACATGGACTGAGATAAAACCTACTCCTTTATCATCTTTGACCCTCAAGAATATGTAATTTTATACTTGTCAGATTGTATTTCTTCAGCAGATAAAATCTGACTTTATTTAATTCAAGTACAGTAATTTGGGGCTAGCAAAGTGCATGGGCATTCACAATGAGCTCAAAAGGGAGAGACCAGACATCTGTATACACAAGGATCTCTCTGATCCTTGTGTATTCCGGTGCACAATAATATTAGATGGCCATATTCACTTATAGGTCATCCATGTTGCTGAGGGCACTAAGGACACTGACGAATTGCCGGTTGCAAAAACATCAAACAGTTAATTATTACACAGTATATAACACAAACATAAAGTTCCCTGCGGCATCCAGTAGTGGAACACATTGCTGTCATGTGTTTGAACTGGTAAGAGGTTTGATTTAAGTGATGAAAACCAATACAAGGCGAAAATTCTCGCCTTTAAAAAATCATGGTTGCTAGCTCCGCCATACTGGAAGCAGAATGATGCAAAGGTTGAATGTGAAGTGAAAATGTGGTTTAGAATATGAGGACGCAGTTCTGTTTAGCAGGTTTGGGAGGACTGATAAAACAATGGAACAAGTGCATCAGTGTTGATGGAAATTATGTTGAAAATTAAAGGCACATTTTATGTATAAAAATTAATGGTTTTCAAGTTATTATCGTTAGTTTTTTTGTTTTTTTAAACAATCATTTGTAATTATTGACTTTCCCTTGTTTATGGTACTACATTTTTATGTGCCAAAGTTGGATAGAGGTTTAAGTTTCTTTATTACATATTATAATTTTTGTTTTTAACTAATTCTGTTATTTTACTAATTGATACTTTAAATTGTAAATTCAGGTTGGTCTGATCACAACATTAGCCATATTATTGCATGAAATTCCCCATGAAGTCGGAGACTTTGCTATTCTTCTCAGATCAGGCTTCGACAGGTGGAGAGCTGCCAAGGCTCAGGTAACACTGATCTTTTGAAATAAATAGTTTAGTTTTTGTTTTTTTAATTTATTTACATCGGCCACCACCAGCAAGAACTTACAAGATGAGAATGGGAACACCAAGAGGCAGAGGGCGACCTTGAAGAAGATCGATTGAAGAAGTCACTGACAGCTTAAGACCTCACAACATACCAAGAAACCGAGCATTTCCTAGTTTGGCTACCTATCTTTTATTAGAATATAATGCCTAGTGTCACAAAGCAGATACTGGATAAATGAAAGATGTATATCTTAATAAATTCCTGCTGGGACACAAAACCTGTAATGATTCATTTCTGTTAATTCAGAACTAGCCAATAAACCACGTCTTGTATGCTTTACATGAATATATTTGGAATAGTAGTTTCAGTGAACCAGTCGTTAAAGATCAAAGCGCTAAATTTTCTGGCCTGCGAAAGCTAAATACTATTTCTCCAGCCATCTTTGCTGTAAAAGCCTGCACATTGATATGCTAGTAACTAGGGCTGAATACGAATAGCTGGACTAACTATTCGGCCGAATACGAATAGCGAATCATCATCATCATCATGTGCTTTGCTGACTGGCATGAGAGATTATGCCTAGCCACAATCTGCGATCTCCTGCAGCATGTATCAGTTTGTGCGCCGACACACCTCCATGCCATGCAACAAGACTGTCAAGAATCTTCTCTCGTTGTCTTCCTCTATCCCTCCTTCCACATATCTTTCCAGTAGTCACCACATGTCCCATTCCCTCTTATCTTATAACATGACCGAAAAGCGATGACTTTCTCCTTCTGATGTCTGTGAGTGGTTTTCTTTGGGCTCCTGTCTCTATCAAAACCTCTTAGTTGCTTTTTTTGGGTGGATGGGGGGGGGGGGGGCTGTCCAAGGTATTTTAAGCATTGTTCTGTAAAACCACAATTTTGAGGCCTCAAGAAATTGTTTGGCCTGCCTACCGATCGTCCAGGACTCACAACCATATGTTAAAACTGGATGTATATAGCAAGCAAGAATTCTTTTTCTAACCTTCAATGACAAAGTTATTTTGCATAAGATATTCTTAATTTGATAAAATGCAGTTTTTGCCTGTCCTATTCTGTTTCTTTTTTCAGTAAGGCATCTTCCATCTGATGTTAGCTATGTGCCCAGATATTTAAATTTCTGTACTTGTCCCCCCCCCCCTCCCCCCCAAAAAAAAACCATTGACTTTTATTACACATTTAGGAATTTTTTGTTTTGTTTTTTGTTGGATACCACCATTACTTCTGTCTTCCCACTATTCAAACTGAGGCCCATTCTTCCACTTTCCACTATAAAATAGATCTAAAAAAAATAAACATCCATAATGGGAAATGTACGCTGAAATTTCACTTCACTTCACAAAATGTAGTACAGAATAGTAAACATTTAAAAAATTGTCATGTTTAGCATCCTTCAGTCAGTCAGTCTGTGGTAACTAATACCTATGAATGAAAGTATTCTTAGTTTTATAACAAGTAACTAAACTTGTAAATTGTCACTGACAGCTTAGTTAATCCATGAAAGCGGCATTAGCTTTCCACACAAAACAATCATTCCTTGATGTCAGCATTAAGGCAGCTTCCTGTCTCAATTTTTGTGTGTGCTTTACTTGTAATTTGTCCATTATTCATCATCATGTCCCACATCAGTAGCTTCTTCTTATTTGTTCACTAGCTGTATGCTCCAGCAAAAAAGTCCTGGTTGTTTGTCCATGTGGATGTTGACTGTATGCCGGGGTCTGAGCTTTGCATGTACATCCATTTTACAGGCTTATTTGTGTGCAGTTGGTTCATTGTTGCGGCTCTGGCAGATGAACTATGACTTCAAAGAAAGTGTCCAGTTGGGCGATTCCTAAGACACGGTTGTTGGGAGGCAGTGGGTCTGTTCTTGTTTTTCCCACAATGGGATCCAGCACCCACATGGTGAACATCAGCATCAAGAATTATCATTTTTTTCTATCTAACCACATTCCCAGTCATGGATGATGGTTGTATAGCATAGATGCTTGTCTGCAAGCTTGAAGGTCTTGGATCTGTATTTGCACAGATGGATTTTATTTTTTTGTAATTGACTTTGGCTTCCAGGTCAGTTCAGCCTAAAGTGGGTACTAGGAAATGCCCTAGGAAGTAAAGGCAGCTGTGACAATGCTCACCACATCACCTATGGAATGCGACTTTGTCTATAAAGAGTCAAGCATTATATACCTGATAAGCCATTGGCATCTAAAGAGTACTTTCTGACTGCTTACATAGTTGCATAAAATGAAAACAGGAATCAGCATGAATGAACGAACAAAGAAACTTTATTTTCAAAGAGTTAAGAATAGGGCATGCATGCCCATCTACCATTCTGCCCTTCTGTTTTCTCTTCTTCCATACACCATTTCATTCATACATCAAGTAACAGTAAACATTATCAGTAGCATCGAAATATTCAATATAATACTGCAATGTGCACATTTCTGGCTACAGTAAATCATAGTAGCTGTAATAAATCATGGAAAAATATGCACTATTTCTAACACATTTGTTATCTTCTGTGGGGGCATGTAATCAATGCTCAGATAATATTTGAACAATTTCCGATTGTATGTACAGGGACTAATGGTATATTTGACTTGTTGTGAAGATTATTCCTTATTTCTATTAAAGCTAGGCCAGATAATATGGAGTCTGGATGTTCATGAGCCAGATAGTTGAGGTTCTACTTTATATGTAAATTTGAACATCTGATAGAAACTGAGCACCAGTAGGAATACTGGAATGCATTAATTTGTTTTTCTAATAACAGCAATACTCTGAGAGTAGTTATTGCCAACAATTATTCTTAAATAAAGCTAGGAAGCTACCACTTTATTCATGTTTATTAGTTAATTATTTTACAATGCAACCATTACCCATACATCAACTTACAGTTTCTCTAGAGCAACTGTTGTATGTTAGAAAATATAAAAGTGAACTTTGTAGAACACAAATAATAATGTTGAGTTATATTTTTTCTCCAGTTTTTAACAGCATTAGGAGGTGTTATTGGTGCTGTTACAACATTGACTACGGAATCTGCACAAGTGGCTGGTTAGTTTTTATGTTGTTGTTATTTTTTTTTCTCATAATTTTGGAATTGTGTTAAAATTCAGAATGTGGACCAACTTCCGGTTTAGAAATGGCAGCACCAAGACGCATGTGTGACGACGCGCGACATTATTTTTAAAGTTTACACTTTATTGGTGTTTTTTATTGATGAAAAAAAACTTGTCACGAGCCTTTCAACAAACATCAACATGCAAAGGCCAAATTTCAAAGAGCCAAGCTGTAGGCTGGTCGGACAAGCTGGCAGGAAAAAAACAAAGTCTGTAAACTGAAAGAGACACAAGGAAGTTGTGTAGGTTAGTCAAACAAATTAATTATGAGAGAAATGCAAATATTACACTATGCAAATAAGGAGCCATCCTAACAAGAAAACAGGCCGCTGACCACTGCAGATTTTTTTTTGCCGAAGACGGCAACATTGATGTCAGCCCAGAGAAACAGCGAGAGGCTCAAAAGAATCAGCAATATACAAGACAAAATGATATAATTCCTGAGGCACTAGTGGCAGCACTTACACCTAGCGAGCTAGAATTACCAATTTCAAAGCTGAAAATTGGAAAGTCACCTGGAATTGATGGAATAACCAACAAAATGATCAAGAACCTTGGAAAAGCAGCCAAAATAAAGCTGCTACAGATCTTTAATCATCGTTGGACTGGTGGCAAAGTTTCCCAGATATGAAGAGAAGCAATCACGATACCCCTTCTTAAACCAGGAAAGGACAGTCCCGATGCCTCCAGCTATAGACCAATCAACCTTACCAGCTGTTTCTGTAAAACAATGGAACACATTGTCAATCTTTTGGAAAGTGAAAACATCTTCTTGCCGCAGCAGGCAGGCTTTAGACAGTGCTACTCCACAGAAGATGAGACAACTTACTTTTCACAAGAAATTGAGGATGCCTTCCAGGATGGATAGATCTGAAGAAAGCCTTTGACAGGGTATGTGAAAAAGGCCACATGACACAGATGCAAAAGTAGTACTTTAGACACTCGAGTCTGGGAAATTACCAGGTTTACGGTCAACACTATCTGAACAAGGCAGCCGATGTAAGGTAGTTATACAATGGGTACCATCCCTCTGTGGAGTTTCCAGTAATGAAAGAGCTAATAAACTAGCTAGGGAAGGTGTAAATGAAGAACAACCCGATGTACCAGTCTCTTATCAACAGAAGAAGAGAATAATCAAATCAATCAGAAAGCCGCCAAAAGTGTCACAAGATGATTTCTATATTATAGACAGACCAGAGCAAGTGATTACACCGCGCCTTAGAACAGGGCATAATAAACTTCATAGCCACATGTATACAAAATTTCAGATTAGCAAATCAGCCAAGTGTACCTGTGAACTGGCACCTAAGACAGCTGATCACATCCTCCAGAACTGTCCCAAATATGTTTCCAGACAAAACTTTTGGCCTAGAGAGACACTGGTGGAAGCCAAACTTTATATGCCGTTATATGAAGTTCATACTAGAGACAGCATTGCAGATATAGATAATTTATTTCAAATGAACGAAAGAAGAAGAATATGGACCTTTATGAAATAAGTTTGTCTCATTGGAATAAATCAAATACAGAAGTTTTTTTTTTTTAAAGTAACAAACATAATGCCTGGATAATGCTTAAAAAATAGAATTTTTTTTTTATTAATCAAAAGCAAAACCAGAGCTAATAAATGAGAGCTCCAGAAAAATATTATGAAGCTAGGGAGCACATAAGTGCATAAAACAATTCTCAAAACTGATTCCAATGATCTGTAGGCATTTTTGAGTGTGGTGTATTATTTCTAAGACATTACTTGGGGAAAAAAAAAGCTATTTTTTTTTTAAAAAAACATAATGTACTGCTGGCAAATGAGTTTGCACCGCTCCTCTGGTTTTGACACTTTCTGTGGGATTACAGACTTCTTCTGTGGCATCAACTATCTTCTTGAAATTAGTATGTACAGGTTTTATTACAGCATAATGAAGTAGTGAGCACTCTGTTTGAAACATGGTTGAAAGTGATGCTGTAGTTTACACAGATAGATCAGTAATTCAGGACAAGCAAAGTGTGTGGGCTTTCACAGTAAAAAGGGGGAAAGCCATAAAGGCAATGAATGGTGTCTTTGCTGTTACATGGCTTGGTACTCAAAAGTTCACACTTGCATGAATGCTTAGTGACTCAAGAATATGCTTAAGAAAATCCAAGATGAGTTCATGAGACAAGACTGGATTGCAAGACTAAACACTTTGTGAATGGCTGGCCTAACCTTCACCTTTGTACCAGGTCATGCAGGGGTTCAACGCAACCAGTGGGCATATAATCTTGCAGACACTGCTCTTGCTATGACTGGTCCGGTACTGGCCTGAAGCAGGATTATCAGTGTAATGCACAGTACTTACCACAAAGACAAATACAGAAAGGGCCTGACTCCATATCCTTGTCTAGGCTGATGACATGGTGGCACAGCCTGGAGCTGCAAGAAATTAACATTTCACCAAGTGGACAGGCTGTTTGATTAATCAGCAGAAAACAGGTGCTATTGGTCATTGTACACTTGTGGAGCTTTTGAGGAAGTGATCAGAGCATCTGAAGATCTGTCCAGAGTGCTGTGATGATAACCATCCCTAATCACCCATTTCATATCTTCAAGTCTCTTGACTGTTGCTTCAACATTTATTACAATGATGTTTCATCTGTATGTGGACATGAGAAAAAGCATTATAGACTTTCTAAGGTCTCCCCTCCTAACAACAACAAAAGCGGGAGGGGGGTTATACGTTGTTGAACAGTTGCAAAAATAATGCACTCTATGCAGATTTTTTTTTTTTTATCGAACACCGGCTGTGAATTCCAGTGGAAGGTCCCGGTTAATCGTCCACTTGGACTTTTGGCTTTCACCTGGACCTGATTTTTGCGTGTACAACCGTTTTTCAGTTCCCTGCCTCATGGGCAGCTGTACGCCGACTTCGAGGGAAGACGTCAGGCCTATTTCTAGGTTGACTGTGGCCATTGTTTTTTGTGGGTCGAGACGTTGCCTGATTTGTGTGGTGTCCACACCGCAGGTGTTGCCCCCCGGAGTACCCCTTTGGGTCAGCCCCCTGTGGAACAGTTAGCCCTCAAGGGAAGGCAGGGGCAGATCATGGGCATTCCCCGCCATCCAAGGAGGCATCCATGTATGCAGAGCCGGCACATCACGCTCTGGTTCTGGGCTCACCCAAGGAATCGTCACGTCCTGCACATGCCTGCTTAACCTCACAACCGTATCAGGCCTCCCGCTCGGCAGGGGCTGCGCCCTCTGGAAGTCAGCGGGGAGCAGCCCGTGGGTTTTGGACTTTTGTGACCACACAGATAGGTACATTCTTTTTTCATCGCACGTTAGATTTCTTGACGAGCCGTTAGCCCGACAGAATTTACATCCTGCATCAGGCATATCGTTATCAGTTTTTGTCCCAACACTCGGGCGAGTGGGGTCTTTGGGTGTGGACATTCGGTCTTTTTCAGTTCAATACTAATTTTGATGGTCAGATTTTGATCCGTATGATCTAGTTTTGTCGGACATTTAGGCTTAGTCATCTGATAGATGGTTGCTGTTGTGGTGAACCTCAGCGCGGTGACGACGACACTGAGGGTTAGCCGAGGATGTACAAGGATGGTCCGCCTATGGATGGTTGCTGTTGTGGTGCACCTCAGCGCGGTGTCGACGACACTGAGGGTTAACAGTCTCCGCAGTCTTTTAACCAAGGGTTGTAATTTTGACTGTACGTTTGGCTAACCTACTCATGTTCCTAATGAGTTTTGGTAACATTTTTCACCCAAGCGTTTGGGGGCGGGCTGATGAGGGCCACAAGGACACATCACCTCTGGGGGCCGCCGAACTCCGAGATCCCCTGACAGCTCTGTTAATGCTCATTTGAGACATTATCCGTGGCGCACGACGAGGACGTGCTGTAGGGGTCTTGCGTGAGGTTCCGTACAACCAGGATAGTAAAGGACTGGCGCCCGAGTGACGTACGGAGTATCTCCTTATACACGTCGAGTTGGGCTTAACTTCCCCCCACGCCTGTGACATAAATCACCGCGCCACTCTATGCAGATTAATAAGATAGTTGCGATGCCAGCTTCAGAGCAAATGAGTCACCTCACAGTTGCTCTGTTCCTTTGCCAGTGAAAACCGCACAGAATGTCCCAATGTGTCACTTGTGGACAAATTGACACAGACTGCAGACTCAGCAAATCTATTAGCAATCACACGCATTATCTGCATAAGGCAGCAGTCTGAAGTTTCAATACGACACTAGAAGTGCAGCTCATCATCTATGGAAGCAGCAGTTTAAACAGATAAGTGTTCGCACACGCAGTTAAGCACATAAGGCAACAGTAACTCAGTTGCAGCAGGCTTCTTGCTATTTTCTGAATCTTCATTTACAACACAGACCACATTGGGCACAGCCAAAAAGCATTTAAAATGAAATACATTGAGCCCCCCGTGTGGGTTCCGGGGCCCTATTGTAGGGAAAACAAGAATAGACCCACTGCCTCCCCAAAAGCATGTCGTAAGAGTCGACTAACTGGGGAGCTTCCTTTGAAGTCGGAGTGCATCTGCCTGAGAGGCAAGGAACCAGCAGTCTGCATTCAATTGAATCAGATCTGTAAAACTGATGCACACGCAACACTCAGGTTCTGGAGCAGGACTGTAGTCCAGAAGTGGACGAACAACCAGAACTTTACGCCAGAGTGTACAGCTGGTGAACGCGAAGAAGAAGAAGAAGAAATACATTGAGCTCACAGTTTGTGCAATGCACTCAGCTCATTAGCTTGGTGATGAAACTATATCTTTTCAGTCAACATGTGAAAGAAAATGCAATGGCTAACTATTTTCAGAAGCAAACACTTGCCATGACTAAAACAGCAGACCTGCCTATCCTCTGTATTGACTGGAAGTTTTTTCCCACAAATATTAAGAGAGTGCTTTGTATAAGGAACAAATAATGCTTTAGGATTGAGTTTGCGAATTCTCGCCTGGACTCCAAAGTGCACTGCAGCTTTGTAGATGCATTGTCATGCTCCTGATTTCAACACAATGTGATTCTCAACCCATCCTATTCAGTTTCTTCATATTCTAACAAATACGTTTTAAACATATGAACATGTGTGCGACAGGGATGTCTTTTGTCACCTCTCCTATTTCTACTGGCAGTAGACTCAATTATGAAGACAGCAACCGCTAACACTTCGCTGATGTTATTTGTCTTCTGTCCCACCCACAGAATCAGATGCACGACAAATTGAAAATATTTGATGTGAGGTCACAACAACAGGGTAAAAAAAAATAGACAAGGATAATGAGACTAAAAGAGGCAGACAGTAGTATAATTTTGCATAATGATATTCCACTCTAAAATGTGGAGTCATTCACCTATCTGGGCAGTAATGTAGATAAAGATGGGTAAAGTGATAGAGATATTAAAATACAAATACAAAAAGCAAGAGTAGCTTTCAGAGCACTAGGAAATTTGTTGAGGTCAAAGGAAATTAAAAATGATCATCATTGCTCAGCATGTCCTTTACAGAACGTCACTCTCTTCATGGCACACCTAAAAGTCTCTCATTCTCTAGCCATATTCTCCAGCCCTGTGCGCTTACTTAAACAGATACTACACCTAAAATTTGTAATTCTTATGTCTAATTAGTACTGCTGTATGGAGTGGAAACATGAAAAACAACTAAACCAGTTACTGGTAAACTATAGGCATTCATTAACTGTTGCTTACGCAGAAAGATGTGATAGAATCACTAATGTTGAGCTTTGAGAGAAAACTCAAGTTACAGTGGACCAAGAGGTGAAGAAAAGATGCTGGCATTGCATAGGACACATATTGAGAAAACCTGGGAACAATATATCTAGAATGTCTTTGCACTGGAACCCACAGGGGAATAGAAATAAAGACAGACCAAAAGAAAACATAGAGAAGGGAGCTTTCAGCTAGAGAGGACATATGGTGAGCTGCATGCAATAGTGAAGGACTTGCTGTCAGTTGGTTAAGGGTTTATGCTCCATGGAGGAATAGAAGGCAGATGAATTTTGTTTGTTGTTAGAGATTCTTGACCATATATACGAATGTTAAAGGTTATATTGTGATGTCTTAAGGTCATAAATTGTAATTTTTACGTAAAATATTTTTTTTTTTTTTTTAAATACTCACTGATTTATTTATAATAAAACTTTCAGGTGAGAAAGCAGTTTGGGTTCTACCATTCACTTCAGGTGGCTTCATGTATATAGCTCTGGTTACTGTAGTTCCAGATCTTTTACAGGAAAAACATGGATGGTTAGTATATCATAAAATAAGCATGTAGTAGTCATGAAATGAAACATGTTGTTTTGATGAATGTCATGTTTAAATAGCTTTCAGACAAAGCCTGATAATATCTCACACAGGCATCATCATAAAGATGCAGATTTTTGGTGTAGATTGTCTGCAAACCCAATGAGATATAACAATTATCAACAAATCCAACCTTAGATTTACTTAATAAAATATGTTGCACAAGAATGTGACTTAAAGTCATTGTTAAATCTTGTCCTGCCACTAAATGCCAAGTATTCTTCTTAGGCATTGCATGTGAAAGTTATTTAGCTGTTTCTCCTGGTGTGAATAAGTTGACCAAGTTTCACTGCCGTAAAGCAAAGTTCTGAGATCACAAGCCTGATGGACAAGAGTTGGTGTTTTAATTGTGAGCTTCTTGTTCTCTCAAGCTGTTTTTGTTCAGATCAACATCAGGATAGGTAAGGCAGCAACAACAGTGAGCAGATGCTCATTGTTGTTGCTGCCTTACCCATCGGGGTGTTGATTTCTTGGTCCAGCATAGTTTGTAATTCACTGTGGATCCCAGATAGGTAAAATGGTTAATTGTCTCAGGCTCATCACTATCAGTGTAGACTGCAGGTTTATCATTAACACCTTTGTCTTCCTTCTCCTGATTGTTAGACCAAATTCTCAGCATGCATCAGCAAATGCAGATAGTAAACATTGCAGCTCCTCCTCTGAGTGGGTGGTAATTGTGGCATCATTTGCAAACGGCAGCTGTCTGATAAGTACCTTTCTTATTCTGAGTTTGGCCTTCAACCTGCGAACATTGTAAAGGCTGCCCCCAGATCGAAAATGAATGATCCTGATGTTGAAAGGCGTGTTTCATAAGAAGTCAGAAGTAAATTGCAAAGAGGGTAGGAACAAGTACACATCCCTGCTTCACTCCATTGTTGATTACAAACTGCTCCAATTTTTCACCATCAGAGTTGATTGTATATTTCATACCTGTGTGTGTAGAATAACTCAATAATGCTCAGTAGGGTAGGTTGACACCCAGTCTTCTTCAGCTGTACTATCCATAATAATTAACTAACTTACTTTACCTCAGCTTCTGACAACTTTATTGATTTGAGTTGTCACATCGCCTCATATGTGAATCTCATTTTATATTTTATTTTCATTAACCAGGTGACAGGGTTAAGAATTCTCAACCTGGTTATGACAATCATGACAACTCATAGTTATACATGCACCCACACACACACACACAGATCTATATATATATAATATATATATCCACCTATGTGGTCCAATCCATTTATATCTTTCAATCCCCCCAATGGGGTTCAATCCATTTATATCTTTCAATCCCCCAACTTTAAGCACTTGCGCCAAGAAGAAAAAATCGATAATGGTAACATTGAATAAAAATATACACATTTCAAAGCTTTATAAAATACATGTACATATCATCAAAATAAGGATAACACTTGTACACAAGGCCACATAGAATTCTAGAATCTCTTACCCCCTGTCTGAATGAAATACACTCTTAAATTCATGAGATTGTGTCAGATGTTAAGGACTACAAATCTCTGAAATACGTCTAGTTCTTACAGCAACTAGAGTTGAGAAGGCGGAAGTCAGATTTTCCGGAACTCAGATCCTATGCGCATGATGTCTCCGAATCGGGTCTAGGTGCGCACATCATCATCGTATCTAGTGAGGGTTGTTGCTAATGACGCTATCCCTGTGCTCCCTTTTAGTTTTCTGCACTCGGGAATTCCCCGTTGGCATGTGCATTGGTACCAAGCTAAGAACGCCGATCTGTGATTATGACGTTATTATTGTGTCATATCGTAGACGATAGTCTGATCTTTCGTTGTACTGCACTTGCATGTATATTATGATGTCGTTTGTTTACATGTTCTGCCGGTATGTACGGTGTGTCATGTCGGAGCAAGCTATGTCCCACGCACTGGAGTGGTGTACCACTGCCATTTCGTGACATAAGCTCCCTCCCTTAAAAAAAGTAATAGAACCTGGACTTTTAACAGTGAAGGTGGGACACCATGTTCTCCACTCCACTCACTGTCATTATCTTCTGCATCGTTGAACACTGACCAAACTTTCTCCATCATAGGATGTCGGCTTAGAAAATCCACTCCAACATTACTTTTCCCAGGATTGTATTCCACTGTAAAGTTGTACGATTGAAGTAACAACGACCATCTCATAAGCCTTGTGTTTAGTTTCTTCGATGTCGCCAGATATACTAGAGGTTGATGATCACTCTGTACCTTAAACTGGGTACCATATAGAAATGGCTGAAATTTTTTGACAGCCCACACAAGAGATAAACATTCCCGCTCAACTGTGGAATAATTTCTATTCTTGAAATAGGTTAAGTGTTGCAGGGGTGGTTGTAGTAATGGGTTTACAGCAGTTTGTCGGTTCTGTGTCAAGGATGAAGCTTCACTATTTGGTCAAATCAGTGTTGCATAGCATCAGCAAGAGTAACTGGAGCAGTCCCGTGTCTTGGCGCCACGTGCTGAGACTCATAGCACGATTTGACATACCTTTTGATGTCCCCAGTCATTCCTGGCCAATAATAATGGCAGGTAAAACGCTGGGTAGTATCACCTATACCCATATGTCCACTAAAGGATATGGTGTGTCCCATATGAAGAACTTGGTTTCTGTAGGCGAAGGGAACTACAAGTTGACTATGTTCGTGTATTCCTTTTCCGGCCCTACGGTGCAAAAGGTTGCCTTTCATATAAAAATCGCCTGACTCGAGAGGATTATGCGCCTTAGGAAGTTTAGAATAGCAAGGTTTTAAGGTACTATCCTGGGTCTGAGCAGCTCTTATTTCTCCAGGAAGAGAATTTATCAAGGGGTTGGTCGACTCCTCACTTGCTTTAGCTTGTGTCCTGGTCTGTACAGCAGCTGCAGTGACAAGTGCTTGAGGTTATGCAAGGTAAACATACCGGCACCCGAGCATCATAGGATAAATAGGGTCACTAATGACCGCTGCTGAAATGATACCGGTAACCTACTTCGAAATAATATTAACCCTAGCAATAGGTAATACCATGACAGGTGAGCTTTTCATCGCTCCCTGAATTTCAAAAGTGTCCTGGGTTAATTGGCCTGGACCTAACAAATGGGTTGCAATTAACTCATCGAATTGCAAACCCGTGTGGTACCTGTTCAACTACCGGAGGCCTTGTTTGTTTCTGAGACCGGGTAGTCGGTACCTTCTTGTGGGTTGCTAGTCCCGCTGCATGTTGCGGTGCTGGCTTTCTCCTACAGTAGCAACATGAGTATTCATTTTGCAATACTTGCAAAACGGTTGATTTCTCCAACCTGGCATTGCCTGGGGTTGGGTCTGTGTTTGAATGGGTCCCCTGGCTGTGCCCTTGTTCTGATTTTTAAAATTGGGAAGCAATCCGTTTTTCTGCGGGTGGTTAGAGGTCATGGATTTTTCTGGGTGAGGTGGTCCCTTAACTCTGGCAGGATGGTTATCGCCATGTGCCGTTTGATATCTCTCAGCTAAGACCAAGATATCCCTGAGTTGTTCGGCCCCATTTTCAGCTAAAAATGTTTGCATGGTTCGAGACATAGACTTTCTCACCTGTTCAGTCAGAATCATTTCTTCCAGTCCTGTGTAGCTATGTTCATATCCACCCAGAGTTTCCCATTTAAACAGGTACGTTTGTAACCTGGTGGAAAACTGGTGGAATTACTCGCATTGCGGAATTTCTGACGGTACGCCAAGGAGGTAAGTTCGTACCGTTTGAGCAGTGCTTGTTTAAGCGCCTCAAAATCAGTTTCCTACCCCGGTGGTAACCTAACATACACCTCATACGCTACTCCCTTTAAACCCTGAGAAACTCTCTTTTTCTAGTTTCACAGATTCAGCCATACGCTGGAATTTATCCAAATATGTATCGATGTCTTCCTCCTTGTCATTAAATGAGCTAAAGGTGAAATTCATCGCTCCTGCTGAACTATTTTGACAAGGCTGAATGTCCAAACTTGCCGCTGAAGATGCTGAAATAGATTGAGGGGTAGCTGATGCTATCTACCTCTCTTCTGCTCTCAGTTGCAGTTCATGTTGGCGTTCTTTTTCCCTATCTGCAGCCCGTACTCTTTCGGTTTCCAGTGCTGCCTCCGCTATTCGGACTTGACATGCTTCTACTCGTTCTTTTTGCTCTGCCTGTTCTCTAATTTTGTCTTCTTCTCTTAGTTCATCACTTCTCCGTAGAATGTAGTCTGTAAGTTCTCTATGAACCCCATCTCCCGACCTTTCCTCTTTCAACTCCGCCACCGATCATCTTTTCGTAGCCATACTCATTATCTACTACTAGTGAGGCAAGGGGGTTCGAGATTATGTACTGCTCTCAATGCACTAACTCGTTCAATGACTAGTAAAAGCAAAGAGATAGTACATAAGAAGAAAACCACAGTAACACTACTTTAAAACGTGAACAGACACCACAAAGCCTCCATAGCCCTGAATGGACCTGCTATTTGCCACTGACTCACCACTGCCATTTCGTGACAAACAAACACAAACAAAACGTGAACGTTGCAGCTGTGGAGCCTTCTTCAGCACTTACATAGAATAGACAATACTATACAAATACACAATATCACTAATCTTTGTATTCTGTGGCAGCCAGGTGGATGTCAAAGCAATAGTCTGTCATGGCACGAGGGGCCTGGAAAATCTATATCCAGGGATATGCCAGGGGCCGTTAAATGGATGGAGCACAGTATAGACAAGTGTGACAAGCACAAACAGATGGGAGCAGTTATGGGTGGGTGGGACACACGAGGTATGTAAAATTAATGAACTGCTGTGAAGCTTTAAAAATATCAAGGAAAGAAATAAAACCGAACGAAAAAAATATCAGCAAGCTTCACTATCTAACAAACACAAACAAAATGTAAAAGTTGCGGCTGTGAAGCCTTCTTTAAGAGAGCACCTCAGTTGTCAGGTTTTTATCACA